ACGCTCGTATCAATGAACTCACACACGAGATGGCCGCTATGCGAGCCCGTTTTCCTCATACCGATCCGGATGTTTGATTATGTGTTTAGTTTTAAAACTTTGAACAAAAAGAATAAAGTTTAAACATTTTGGATATTTTGGATTGTTTGATTTTGTGGATTGTTGGATTTTGGATTTATGAATTGTGTGAACTTATATGTTTGGTGTTTTATTCATTTTTGCATCATTTACATCATCATTAGCAATATAACCAATTTTGCCATATCACATTATTTATGAATATCGATTTATGAAACTAATGGCTAACCTCTCTTTTGATTGTGATCTTAGCAGCTTAAGCTTATAATTAATAAATCAATTGACTAAATGATTTCAAAACCTTGTTTTACAATATCTTTTTGATTTAACAAAAAGGGGGAGAAGAATAGGTGTTAAATGTTTTACAGAAGTGTTAAAGTAAGGGGGAGTAATTTCAAAACTTGATTTCAAAAATCTTAAAATTACTAAAATATTTTGTTATATCAAAAAGGGGGGGATTGTTGAAACATTTTGATATTTCGATATAACAAATTAAGTTAAATGGATTTTAAGATTTTCCAAATGATTTTCTAAGTATATTCGATATAACTATTCGAATATCAAAACATTACTCCAAATATTTCAAAAATCATTTTAATCCTTACTTAAGTGTAAAATTAAGTTTTAATCATAAAACAATTTCAAAATAATTTTACAAAGTATTTCGAACCAATTCAAAGCCAAAAATTCCAGATTGCTCAGAGGGAACCGATTCCCCCCATAGGAGGAACCGATTCCCCCCTGAATGGTTTGGCCCCGAGATTTCCAGAATGCTCGGAGGGAACCGATTCCCCCCATAGGAGGAACCAATTCCCCCCTAAACAGTTTTGCTCCGAGAATTCCAGTATGCTCGGAGGGAACCGATTCCCCCCAAGGGGGTACCGATTCCCCCCTTGTACAACGGTCGAAATATTTGAATTTTACACTCAGGGAACCGATTCCCTATGAGGGGGAATCGATTCCCCCCACGCTCCAAGCTGTTTTTATTAAATGTTTTCACACTAAAACGGCTATAATATCTTCTCTAATCATCCCCAACGTTCAGAAGTGATCCAAGGTGTATTTAAGCAAGCTTAGAAGCCATTGATCAACAACAAGAAACATCAAGCAACTAGAATCAAGAGAGAATCAAAGAGAAAGCATCAAACCTCAAGTTTGAGCATTTCAAGCCTATTTTCATTCAATATTCATTTTGCTTTCAAGAACACTTTTTGTGCTCAATTGTATTCATCTTTGAGTGTTCTTTTCTTTGTTCTAGAATTGTGCAAACATCTTACCTTGTGAGGTTTTCTTGTAAGTTTGCAAATTTGTAATCTTCTCTTTGAGAAAAGAGAGTGTTCTCAAGAGTTGGGGTATACTCTTGAGGGAATTGTAAGGTTATCTCTTTGGCCTCAAAAGAAAGAACAAATTAGTGAATTTGTTGGAAAATCCTTAGTGTGGATAGCTAAGGTAGTGGACGTAGACTTTGTTTGAGAAAGTCGAACCACTATAAATCGCTGTGCAATTTCTTTCAATTTTCTGCAAAAGCTTCCACAAAATTTTTATTGCCAATTCACCCCCCTCTTGGCCAATTTTGTCATTCGATTAACTCAACAGAAGTTTTTTCAAAAAAACGCCACTATTGTTGCCCCGAAATCGAATATATCTAAAAATAGGGCCCCTTTATAGGAATTTGTACAGGACCCCCGAAAACCTAGCCACGGCCCTAGGGATGCACATTGCTTAATTTTATTTAATTATTTCATTGTTAGATGTTATGGAGTATTTCTTCTATTTCCTTTCTACTTCTTTACTTTAAATGCTTTCAAAAGTTTAGGTGAGGGATGAGGTTGATTTAATCTTATATATGTTAGGGAAATGCATGGTGTTTACATGTCATCCTTCTAATAAGATTATCGATAAATTTCATATAATGGTATTCACACATTTTTCATTTAATAAAATCATATTTCTGCTAACGAGGGTTAGTACAAGTGGTTGATATTTAAAAATTTAAATTTGTAAGGTACTGTTTAAATCCTATCACCGTCATTCTCAGTGGGCAATTCGTAAATTCTTATGTGAGTCTCAATTGAGCCTTAAATATGTCATGTGCCTGTACTGGGGGAGCCAGCTCTGACATAAACTTTGTTGTAGCAAAAAATAATCATCTTTCTAACAAAGTTATGGGTAAACTACGCATTTAGTATCTAAACTATCGATTTTGGTTTGTTTTAATACATAACCTTTCAATTTTTCAAACTCATACCTAAAGTTTAGTTTTTATTTCATTTTCGTATCCTTGCCGTTAAAAGTTTTAGTTCTTGTTTCATTTTAGTACGCCATTCAGAATTTAACGTTAAATTTTGAAAAAGTATAAGTTTAGGTACTGAAATGGACAAAAACTGATAGTTTAGGTACTAAACGCATTAAGTTTTTAGTGTCGGGATTCTAAAATGAAATAAAAACTAAACATTAGATACGATTTAAAAAATTAAAAAATTAGATACTAAAACATATTAAAACTTATATTTAGATACTAAATGCGTAGTTTATCCCAAAATTATTGATAAAATTTATATATTGTTTGATATGATACTAATCATATCATGTTATTATGTACTTAAAATTGTTATAAAAAAATTAATATAAATTTGTTAATTAAGAAACAAAGTGTCGGTAATTAAATAAAATACATGTAAAATAGAAATCATGTCACCCAAACTTTGTGTGGTAACTGCAGAATTGACTGAAAAAAGGTGGAATATGCGTAATAATAAGAAAACAGAACCTAAATCTGAGGTTGATTGCTTTAGATCAAATCCCACATCGGGATTGTTAATGAGAAATATTGTCGGCACATAATCTACTTTATTGTGTAGGCTGGAATATCTATATAAAGGCTAAGCACAAGCATCTACACTTAAACAACAAATTAAGGGTAGGTGGGCAACCATCTCATATTTTATTTTAATAATAAAAAGAGATTATATTCTACATAAATGATTTGAATTTAAATATTTTTTATTTTAAATTTATTATACTACTTCTCACGAACTTGATTTGGTTAAAATAAAAAATATGTTAATCATATATGTTACGAACAACAACGCGTATCAACACTGAATTGTGATGACAATCACATAGGTAATCATAGGGTAAAATACACAAATGATCTTCTGATTATAAAATATCATAAAATGATCTTCGACTATAGAGAGTTGATTTGTTGAGTCCCCGCTTGAATATTCATTATGTTCCAAACTCGTTATTTTCCATTAAAATTTTGACGACATTTTGAGTTGTATGGTTACTTGTTGAATGAGATATGATAAAATATGATCTCATAATCTCAAACGACTACCATATCTCGGTCAACCTGTTAACGTCCATATCATACGACTGTTAATTTTCTAATAGAAAAAGGTCGGAACGTAATGAATAGTCGAATGACCATTTTTTTTAACTTTTAATAGTCAGGGAACTTAACAAAACAACTCCTTACAGTCGAGAGACCATTTTGTAACATTTAATAGTCAAATGACTCAATAAAATAATATCCTATAGTTTGGGGATCATTTGTGTACTTTATCCTTAATCATATATGTTAAACCTAATTAGTTAATTAATTAACAACTAATTGGGTATCGATCTTGACAGCAAACGCTGTGTTTGATCCTCATATAGTAGTTGTTTCCCATGACGGGTTCAAGTTTTAAGGTGCGGTTTCTTACGCTGACCATTTTTCGAAACAATGATGAATTATATATATATATATATATATATATATAATTATTAAATTATGTTATTAATTATTAAGAATTTAAAATGATTATTATAAAATAATAATAAATTTTAATCAAATAAGAATTTGAAGAGCATAATTGGCCAAATTAAAATAGGATTTGGAGGTGTTCGTGATGATATTTTTTAATAAAATAATATTAAAGATGATTACGACAAGGGGGTGGTGGGATTTTTAATATCGATTTCTGAGTATAAAATATAAGAGTAAAATCTGATTGAAATAATGAAGTGGGATCCAGGCTTAGATGCTGAAGACTAGACTGCAACCGAATCAAATTGGCTCATCAAATGAACATCATGTGTATGGGAATCTATCTAAATTCGTTACTTTAAGTGTAAGTAATATTTTATTTGGTAAACTACCTATTTATGACCAATCTATTACTTAGTTTCTGATTTGGTCATTCAGTTGTTATTTTTTTTAAATCATGTTCAACAGTATGTTCTGGTTCTATCGCCTTTTAAAAAATAATACTGATACTGACATGACGTTTTTAATTATTTTTTAGGATTAACGTGGCATTATCTTATGGCGACACATCAACATCAATCGTAATTTTTTAATGATAGGTGGCCAAAATAAAACTAAAACGTAACTTTATATATAAATTTTAAGAAGTAAAAGTTGATGACCAAAGCAAAAATTAAGTAATATGTGAGTAACCAAATAAATAGTTTTCCCTATTTTTTTCTTTTTATAAATATAATCTAATTTTTACTCTTGAAAATTTGTTTTCTCTGAGAAATCACATAATCCAAGTTAATCGAAATAGAGACAAATACAAGGTTAAAGATTTTTTAAAAAATATTTCACGTAAGAAGAATAAAGGTATATTAGATATTTAAATTTAAAAAAATTAAAAGATAAATGTCTTATTTGATTAGTAATTAAATTAAAAAGTCATAAAAAATTATTATACCAAACAATTTGGAATCAATTATTAAATCAGAAGAGCAATAAATATTAAAATCATAAAATTAAAGGTAGTTAGTCTAAACTTCAAATATACAAAGAGTATAGGACTGAAATCAAATTAGTCATTTTCTGCGTAACTTTTAATTTTTTTTCTTTATTCGTTTCCTTCACTCTCTTTCGATCAATGGGACAAAAAGAAAGCTTTTCAAAAACTACGCGTGCCTTCCCCCACACTAAAACTCTCACATACGCAGAGGAACTCCAAAACCCTAGCTCTTCTTATTTATATCTCCGCGTTTCTTTTAGATTCTGTTTGGATGCTTTGAATCGCTTGATATTTTTGGACTTCGGTTCGCTGATATGGAAGATAAAGAGGGGAGCAATCCTGGAGCTGAGTTTACATCGGAGTCGAGCTGGACACTTTCCGAGGGAGGACCTGACTCGGTGTCCAACAGTGTTAATTACTTCTTCGACGGGGAGAGTAATATTCTCGGTGAATTCGGCTGGGATCTACCGCCGGACCATGCCGATGAGTTTCGACGGTTCACTGAACTAGATCGGCCTGAATTGGCGGGAAACTTTAGCGACTCACAAAACTGCGCTGCAGCTGATGATGTTGCTCGTTGTTCAGTTTCGGGGACGGCTTTGCATCCGGGTGGGTCAGCTGATGTGTCGACGTCGAATCCGTCAGGGTATTCGAGCTCCAGCGAGGATCTGCTGGAGAAATCTACTGGCTCCGGCGCAAAACCGCCCGAGATACCGTGAGTAGTACTAGTAGTGAATAAATATCCTTTGCCAATGATGAAAATGAAGATAAAAGATCACCCAAAAAATTTGACCGTTTATTTAATTCTTTATTTTTTATTATTTCGAGGATTGAGTCGCAAATACGTACAGATCTTGGTGGTAAAATAACAGATTGTAGTAGAGAGGGTTCAATTTTCGGTGTCCGTACATTCTGAAACTGTAAAAATAAACAAAAATGTTTCGTGCAAGTTGGGGAATGGGATAAAGTAGTGTCGTATTTTTTGTGAATCAATAGGTGTGATTAAGGGAATATTGGGGTGAAACCTAAAGGAACCTTTCGGCTATTAACGAAGTGGCCTTGAACGCCGTTACACCGGGCTATTGCGGCGGGAATGTGCCGTTCTTATTTTTGTTTTACTTAGTTTTCCCTGTCGGTTCTTTTTTCAAGTTTTAATCACGTTAAAATTAAGGCAAACAGCGGGAATATAGCTGGTAAAATCCCTCTTTTGGTAACGTTAATCATAGAGTTCAGATCATACTTCCTTCCATGGTTTTTTTTTATGAAGTCTCTCTTTTGCTCTAAATTCATCCCCTCATGTAAAAGTGAAATGGGTATTGCAAATCATTCATTATATGCTATTTGAGTGTTACTTTTTAGGTGAGTTTCTCCATTGCTTTAGGAATATGTGAATGCAGTTAATATGTTATTGCATTTCATGTTATAAGAAAGTTGCTTGTTATTTACATAGCATGAAGTACAAGTATCTTTAATTCTTCACATTTAATTCCTTTTTTCAAACTTAAGTTTTTATTTTTTAGGGATTTTCCTGTTCTTTTCATTTTGATAATTGTAGGGGGGATATTTTTGTAGGTGTAAGGTGAGGAAGAAGGGGCAAAAACGAATACGGCAGCCACGTTTTGCATTTATGACCAAGAGTGAGGTTGATCATCTTGAAGACGGCTATCGATGGCGGAAATATGGACAAAAAGCTGTTAAAAACAGTCCATTTCCTCGGTCTGTTGCTATTTCTCTATTATTGATGATACACTGAAAATTGACATTTTACCCACTTTTAGAACTAATTCAGTGACATATTTCTGTTAAAAATTAAACAATATACTGAAACATGGTAACTTCTCCATTATAATTAGTTGAGTATTTTCATAGTCTCGGAAAGGAAGATTCCAACAGTTCATGAGTATGCCATTTTTAGCACCAAGGACGAAGCCTTTAAAGATGTGGGAGGGACTGTGACCCTAAATTTTTTATATAATGATACTTTAGATTTTTTAATATAATATTAATTAAATAAAAATTCTTTTTTAATTTTTAAATTTAAATACTTGTTAAATCTTTATCCTTTTTATATAAAATAATTTAGTTGATCCCAATGTTTAATTCTAGCTCCATACTTGTTTAACATCCTAAAAATTGATTCTCTATTTTCTTAAAGCACTAGTCTGATTTATTTACTGCATAAATATTTTTGTTCAGCCTTATTTATGCTAGAAAAAGCTCTACTTTGCATTATCTAAAGTGATCAAATTTATAAAGCAAAGTCTTTAATAAGGGAAGGGGTAGGGTTGTTAGGAATCGAATCTGAAATTTGTATTAGTTTAATTGAACTCCCCTTATGGTTCCAGTTGAGATTTCTTTTATCATGTAGCAAAAACCCTCAATAGAACCATTATGTTAGAGCATAGTCAAATGATGAATTCATGCTTAAAATCATTAATGGAAGCAAAACTTTCAGATTGTATTGCAAATTTAAGCCACATATTGGTTCTCGCAGGAGCTACTATCGCTGTACAAACAGCAAATGCACAGTGAAGAAGAGGGTAGAACGCTCTTCTGAAGATCCTACCATTGTCATTACTACATATGAAGGTCAACACTGTCATCACAGTGTAGCATTCCCCAGAGGGGGACTCATGAGCCGTGAAGCTGCCTTTGGTGGTCACTTGACACCAGCAGTCTCACAATTTTATAATCGAGGACTACAGTTACATAGGGAAATTCCTTCAAGCATAACACAATCACAGTCACAGGCACGCGAAGCACCCATTGACGTCAGAGAATCTCGTCCGGTGCCCGAACCCACCGCCTCAAAGTCTCCTACGGATGAAGGTTTACTCGGTGATATCGTCCCTCCTGGAATGCGTAACAGATGAGAAAGAAAATATGGTATGCACATCTTCCTTGAAACTAAATCAAGTTAATTAATGTGATTGTCCATTTGAATATGTGTGCTTTAAATGGAGGACTGCGGTATCATTTTTTTAACTCAAATTAGGAGGAACAATCAGTAGCAAAGTAGCTTGACGCCAAAGGGAAAATATTGAAGTAATAAGGAAGATGCATAGCTTAGTTATTGATGTGTAATTCAATCTACCATAGCCATCATGTCTGAGGCTTTCACATGTGTAGACCTTCTTAGCTATACTAGCTAGTGGACCACTGTGATTAATGTTTTGATATTAAACCCCACAAGCATGAGATGTATAGAAAGCTCTTTGATTGATCAGTCTTAATCTATATTGGAAAAGTTTAACTGTAGCGGAGTACTAATAAATAGGATAGAATTGGACCCTTAATGTTTATCGATGTACTGGTATCTATAGTGATGTGGTAGGCCACAATCATCCTTGTGATTTCTTCGCTTGTTTCCACATCAATAATAACTTCTGGTGCATAATTTTATCAGCTATTGTTTCTTAGGATTCAGCGTTTTATAGACATGGGTTTTGATAGATTAATGCAACTCTAGTGCTTGTGAAAAGATTCTTAAGTACCCGTAGAATCATTTAGATTCACGTTTTAGATGTTCCTTTGCCATTGGTAAAGTTGTATTCAAGTTGTCTTCTTTGATCAATCACTTTAGACATCAACTAACTCGTTTCATTATTTGTTTTATCACTCCTATCAACATTTTTTATTATCTAACCAACATGAAATCAAGATATATTATTCGTCTCTTCTTTCTCTACCTCTCTATTGTTGAAATTTGGAAGTAAATTAACATATTTTAACATCCAATTTTACTGTTATTTATAGTATTACTTTCAGAACTAAATGTTAAAATGATAAAATGTTCAGTGTAGAGGATTAATCTGCTTTTAAGTATATGGTACAGGGAGTACAATATCTTATAATTCTGGATACAGTCATGGTCTGCACTCTACATGATTATGCCAACCGATCATGATAGGACTCGAACTATATAACTTTCGGTTTTATCATGTGGGCGAAAAGAACAAAAAGCACGTGACAGTTTGCCGACAAAAGCAAAAAATAGGTAGGTCTTTGTTCTACACTTGTGGAGGTGACTAAAAGTAGAAGGAAAACTAAGAAAGAAGACTAGTCATGACAAAATGACAATTTGCCTTGCTTGCCGTCTCAGTATATATATATACATGGTTAAGATACAGTTATCCTGTGAAAACATATGATTGAGATTAATAATAAAAATAGAAAATATGAAGATATTTACTGAGGGAAAAATAAAAAATCAACTTCAACCATCTATTTTCCACACATCTAATTATCTTAAATCTATGTAAAACTTAAGTTTTATATTATGTAAGGTGATCCTAACCTTTTGTATATATGCGATTAAAAGATGATATTTGTTTAAATTATTTTAATATAATAATAACATTCATTCTATATATGTTATTGTTTGAATCCGAATTCTCAAAAAGGAGAATTATATTCCCTTTTTATCATTCAATAGTTTGAAATATATAAATACACCTGTCTGTACATGTCTTAGAATTTAGATTATATCTAGGGTTTGCTGTGTTCTTTGATGTCTCTCTCATCAAGGGAAAAATAATGACAACCCTTTTTGTATCTGCAGTCCTGTTATTGATTAGTACAAGCTGAAGAGCAGGCACGCCATGCATGCAAGGAGATTTTTAATCAAGATGGAAGCGAGAACTTAACCAGTTTAACACAATTCCATGTAGAATATCATAACACAAACTCAGCTATAATGGCTATTAATGCTTCTGATCAGTTCATAGTCTTACGCCCAGGTTTATCTAATCTCAACCCTTGAGTTCTAATCTATGCATCTGAATATTGATATTCCTGGTTATTAGTTGTAGATGTTCAGGAGATTAATCAATGCTAAAGCTAGATTAAAATAATTAATTGTTGTTGTGCGATAACTTAATATAATGTTAAAAAATTAGTGATTTTGAACGTAACCGAAAATATGATAAAAAGTATAACATTTTTTAAGTTGATGGAAATCTAAAATGTTCATTTTCTATAATATTTTAGTAATATTATAAATAATGGAGTATTTTCAAGAAACAAAATAACATTTTCGATTTAATTGAAAATATTAAAAGAAGATAGTGTTTTAAGTTATGATTAATCTAAAAATATTATAACTTTTATTACACTTTTAATTATATTTAAAATTTTATTTTTTAACCTTAAATTACTTGGGAAAGTCTCATGTGTAGCAGTCTAATATACAGCTAAGGAAAGACGCTACTGGAAATGCTATTATTTTTTAACATTGGCGGTAAAAAATTACCTAAAATATTATTATTTCTACCATAAATATTATTATTGAGCACTTTATCGAGTTTGTTAATATATCTAGTAAAACACTATCTAAAAATTACTTTTTTATCATAAATATTAATATTGGGCACTTTCCTTAAAAATGTTAAAAGACATAAATATTTTTTTTTAAAAATAATATTTTACATAATTTTTTTACTGAAAATATTAAAAAATAATAATATTTTCGATAACAATTTTTTGTAATAGTATATTAAGGCGGTAGTAGATTTCCCCCCGAAATTCATAATATGAGCATGTAGTAGAAGAAAAGGGTGTGAAAATGGTCCACCTGTTTTGTTTTTTTCTCTTTGTCAGTTGCGTGGGTCTCAAAGTTGCTTCAGAGTTAGGCAGCCCGCCGACATTGCTTTCTTCTCAAAGCCTGCCCCTGCCCCTACACCATTTTTCCTCAGTAGTCCTCGACCAGTTCTTTATGCGTTGCCTTTATGTAATAATGAGTAAAATACACAAATGATCACTAATATTTAAGCACATTTTTGTTTTATCTAATAAAGTTTAAAAAGTAACAAATCAATCACTAAAATTATCGATTTATAATAAATCGATCCCTCACCGTTTACAAAGGTTATTATAAATGAAGGAAAACTGATGTTACACGTTAACTGCTGACGTCACATCATTTGACCACCATTTTAACCTACCTCTCTTTCTTCTACACTCTCCACATTTCTTTTAACTCCTCAAAACCCACAGTTTTTATGCATCTTTCCTATTCAACCTTCAAGCTTTGTACATGCACTGCTCCCAGAGGGAAGAAAAAGCCACACTCCGATTGAGGGCCGACGGCTACGTGTCTCATAGCTCTGTAATTGTGTATATACAAGAAGTATTGTTAAAAAGATGCCATAGGCTTTGAACTGGGCAACGTGTCTACCAATTCATCAAAGATTAATTACTAGATTGATTGACTAATCAATCCATCCATCATTAGATTTACTACAAATACGCAAATCAAATTTAGAAACTAACAATTCACTGTAAAAAAGATGAAACTCATATAGTCAAATTAAGAAACAATAAATAAAAACCAATAAATCTAAAAAAATGATATTGCTAGAGATCTGTGGGACGACGAAATGGTCGGGCCTCAATCAGAGCGTTGCTTTGTTTTTCTCTGGGAGCATTGCATGTATAAAACTTGAAGATTGAGGAGGGGAGATTAAAGAGTGCAGATGACAGATGGAAGAGAAAGTTGGGTCAAAATGTTGGTCAAACAGTGCTAGGTCATCATATTATGTGCCATGTCAGTTTTTCATCACTCACGATAACGTTTGATAATTACGAGTCTCAATTTATTATAAATCAATAACGTTAGTGATTAATTTTATTATTTTTGAAAATTTAGTAGGAAAAATAATTTTTTTTCAAATATTAGACCTTTAGTGTAGTTTACCCTATTATAGTTCATTGATGGCATCATTTAGATATGATGACATTTAAATTTTGATTACTTCTTTACTGTTTAAAAAGTTTATAAAATATTATTTATTAAATAATCAATTGAATTTTCAATAATAAATTAGGGACGAGTAAATTTGTTTTGAATTAAAATATAAATTTTTTGACTCAATTTGATACTGAAATATTTGACTCGATTTATAATTTTATAAACTTGATTCGATTTAGAAAAATTTTAAATAAAATTTGAGTTATAAAATAAAATTTAAATAATTTTAATAATTCAAAAAATAATTAGCGTATCTGTTTTTACGGTTGAGTCAAATCTCTTATCTATGTATGATATATGTATCACATATAACAAATATATATATATGTGTGTGTGTTTCTTCATATACAATTATAGAAAATCATCTAAATTATAATCAATTAGTATCATAACATTATAAATATTTACATTTAAATCTAAGTAGAAAGTTAAATAACTTGACTCGAATTTATTAAACTTGAACTGACTCAAAAATTTAAATAAAATTTAAGTTTAAAATTAAAATTGACCAATTTAAAGATTCAATTTTTAACTCGATTTAATCGAATACTCACCTCTAACCAATTATTATTTTAAGTCAAAATTATTTTTTAAATTCTTTGAGAGTTATTAGAAAATTCACATAATCTAAAGAGTTTTTTTATTTTAAAAATATTAATATTTATTTTTAATTTTTTTCATAAAGATATTTATTATGTTGTTACTCTATTTGTGAAATATAAAATAATTGTCAAATAAATAAACCCATTCAACATGTGAATGTGGTGTAGTTTTCGGGTGTAAAGCCCACTTTTTACCATACTCGTGACATTGCATATACGGATGGGCATGGTTCGGGTTTTTGGTTCACCCGACTCGAGAATAAAGAATCCTCCATTCGAGATCCGTCTCGACCAAAATAAGATTTCACTCAAATCTGACCCGAAATAATAATAAAAATATTATTTTTATTCAATAAAAACAATAACTTAATTAAAAAAAAATAATATATAGATGGGTATGTAACTATTCTTAAATATATATGGTAAAATTATATATTTTTTCCGAGTCGGGTATTTTTTATCCTAAACCCGAACATCACATTTAAAAAAACTCGACCCGGTTTTTTTTTATTATAAAAATCCGACCCGATCGGATTGGTCTTATATCCATCCCTAATTGCATCTCTCCCGTCCCCACCATTGCTTTTTAAGTATTTGATTAGTCTTTTAATTTTTTGGATTCATTTAGTCTTAAAATGTGAATTTAGATATTTATTTAATATCAGAGTTACTCATAAATTTTGGTATAATATACAATGTGATACATAAATTTTAATTTTATAACAATTACATACGTAAAATTATGATTTGATTTGATTATAACAAATTATTTGACTGAGATTTTATGCTTAAACTCATATATGATGGAATTTACCTTATAGCAAAAATAAAACAAGTTTTAGAAGCAAGAGAATATGTTGAGGGGGTAAATTCACTTGGCTATTATACTCTCTAAAACCTCTTGCATCACGAGGAACCTATGCCCAAAAGTTGGTTCACTTAGAAAAGATCAAACCCAGATTGAAAGTGGCATCGGTCGGACACCGATAGAGGTGCCGGTGACCTCAAGTCATGTTTCGAGTCTACCAAGACATGAATCCAGCAGCATTCCCCGCTGCATCCTCCTCGACCGGAGCCGGAAGGTTTAGGTCAATTAGAGCCGGAATCTCGGTCGAGTCTTGTTTGATCACCAATGTTCTGTTGTCCGAAACCTCCTCCAACGAAATGCGACCTTTTATGACCTCCCAAAGCTTGGCCCGACTTGAAAACCCTGAAGCAAAATGGACACTCATGGCCCTTGTTCTTCTTTGAACCCAATCTTTTCTCAGCATTGCTAGATGAACCTTTAGCGACACCAAGGCTCTTAGATTTGGTTACTTTGGTATGACTCATCGGAGCCGTAAAAGAATCGCTGGCTAAGCTATTTTCACGGCTCTCGTGTATCGACTCTGTGCAGTCGTTCGCCTTCTTATGGCTAGCTCGGTGTCCTCCTAGGGCCCTATGTGAATCAAAGGTCTTGTCACAGGTTAAGCACTCGTATTTGCTTCCCTTTTGAGGACTGTAATAAGCATTCTTTCCATTTCTTCTTAAACCATACTTGAATTTGCTTTTAAACCCTGATCCAGACACCATTTTAGGTTTCTTGGACTCGAAGCTATCGCGAAACTCATCGACGGAATCGTCTGATTCCGCCTTCTTCGGTCCATTTCTGAAATACCCTGAATCAGAATTCTCTGAAGAATAACAAGTTTCAGCAGATTGCTTCAACTTGTTCTTGTTGGAAACACATTTCATGGCATTCTTAACGGTGATCCTCACATTGACTGACGACGATTTATCTTCCAAGGAGAGCAGGTTGTTGTCCGAAGAATCGGCAACTGAATTCGGACCTTTCTTAAAACCGGAATCCCTCGACAACATCATCAAACACATTGCTACCTCCTCCTGTTCTTGCACTATCTCCGAAACAGATGAAGAACCATTCCCCAAATTGTCCGAATTATTCGATTGAACACCGATCGTTCTTATACTTAACCCTCTTAGATCGCCTCCGACTCGGAGTCGTCGACGTCTCGGTGTCCGATTGACTATCCCTAATCAGCTTATGTTTATCGCCATTGTCGAAATGATAAGCTCTCTCCTTGTCGGAATGGCAAGACATGTGACCGCAAAGAGCTTTCATTGATCTAAAACCCTTACCACATTCTTTACAAACCATCTCTTTAAACAAAGAACCATTGCTCGAATCCGAAAACCTCTTGGTTTTCCTGGGATTTTCCCTCAAACCAGCAAATCTCTTGAGCTTGTTCAAGGGAAAATCAGCTGATTCTTCCTCAGTTTCGGCAGAATTCTCGTTGTTCATATGAGTTCTTATGTGACCACCTAATGATTTCCCACAAGGGAACCTCTTGTTGCAAAATTTGCAAACGAACTTCTTTCTTGGTTTAG